GTAATAGTAACAGATAACCAGTTTGTTGACAAAGAGAAACAATTTGTTCTGTTGTATTTTGAAATTCTTCTATTTCAGCTGAAATACAGCTAAGAAAGATCTCTCTTTTTCATTTGCACTTGTTATTTGTTTTATTGTTAAGCTGCACTTTCCAAGATAACAATATGTTATATAATGTCAGCACAAAGATCAGAAAGCTTACTCAAAGTGGCAACAGCATTCTATCTGCCTTGACAACTAAAAACTTCACTTAACAAGCTAAAATATGCAGTCTTCTACAAAGATGCATTTATGACATGCTGCAGAAGCTCAAGAGAAAATGTTTAATTTGTCCATGTTTTTAAGATTCAAACAGTCATTTGGCTACTAGAACATTACTTATCTATTGCCTCCATAAAAACCTCTCAAAATTTTAATGACTACCACCGGGCACTTATCAAAGTATTTACATTTTTGCTGAAGTCTAGGTTGTATAAAAATAAGAGGCAATATTCCAAAATGTTATTTGAGTATTTCTACTACCCTTCATCTTCCAATGTTAGCTTTTCTTGGGGCAAGAAATTAAAATACAATGCAAAAAGACTATTTGACCATGAAGCATGGAATATCCTACCTCCAGTGTAAACTTTATGCCAATGATAATTCTTGCTAGAATCTTCCAATACTGTTTTCAGCTAAAAATGCATCTGAATTAACATCCTGGTTTATAACATTTTTGTGCCAGATTTAATCCGGGTGGATTGTAGGTAACATTTTTAGTCGTGGTTATAGTAACATTTCTTGGACATTTCTCTCTGATACTCTCTCACCATGTTCAGTTACAGTTGAAAAAGTCATCACAAGAATGGCCAGAGTTAAAAAGAAGGTATTAATATTTTGAATTTTTGCATGAATTGCTTTCTATTCCTATAAAAAGACAATGTTGATGCTATGTTGATAATATTCTAATTATCTCTCTCCTTCTAGCACAAGTGAAGAGAGAACAGAAACTACTCTGCATCAAAAGTCAAATCCTCCTGAAAATGCTTCCAAAAACGAAGAGTGTGATGTACAGGTCTTTTGTCAACATGATTATGTTTTTTAAAGAACAGTACAGCATTTACATTTATGTCTATATTATGGTAAAAAGTAACTATCTCTGAAACCACAATATTATACTAACTGCATATTTGAATGCCATGAATTGCAAAAGAGTTAAAAAACATTTTATTTTAGAAAGGAGGTTTATAAGCTACATTCCACTGCCCTAATCTTTGGTCCTGGACTGACATGTGTTCTAAACATCCTATTTTGATTGCTATTTTTCTTGAATTTTTTGTCATTTTTGTTCTTTGGCGGTTGGGCTTATGTCTTAGATCCCAATTTGTGATGTTTATTTTGCCTTTTTGCAGAATCCAGTCAATGGGGAAATAACAACAGAGGTCCAAGCCTGTGCCAAATCACTACCAGTGGAATTGACAATAAGCCCAAAAGAGCTAACAACAGATTTCCTCAAAGTTTGTAGCACTTTCCTTTTTAGTAAAATTTTATCATCTGATCTCTGTAGACTGAGCTATGACACTGCTACATTAATTTATACCTATTACAAAGGCAAGGCAACATGCAACTGTAAATTGGCTGCTGCTACATATACTTTGTGGTTGTGTTTATTGGCTGCTGCTACCTATATTGCTCTTCCTGCAGAGAAGCTTGCACGTTACTTGTTACTTACACATTTTGAGTTTTGCTATCCCGTACATTTTTCTTCTTTTTGATACACAGATCTGTTAACATGATTTGAAATTCAAACGGAAATGCTCTTCTCTAGGGTTTAAATGAGAAAGATAAATGGATTGTTCTTGATGGTGCACCCAAGTATGAAGATACCAACAATGTAAGATTTTGTTGAAAACTTTTTACAGATCCTTCAAGTCATTTTATCAAGCAACTACCACTTGGGAAATGTTTAGCATTTTCAGCATTATTGGGAGAATTTAAAATGATATCAAAGGCTTGAACCAGGAAATTTCATTTAAGGGAATAAAATGTTAAACTGAAATGTTTTAAGAGCTTAGGACCATGGAAACCATGGGAGAGACTCAGCTTGTAGAATTTTTGATCGCAATATTTATGGAGTAAACAAGCCTAGACTGATTTGGCTGGTATTGGGTGTTATAGAAAAAGTAAACTAATAAATATACCCAGATATTTGTTTCCAGTTACTAGCCAACAATAAATAGTTTTTAGCTAACAATAGTTTAAATAAAGTTATTAGCCAACAATAAATGGTTTTTTTTTCATTATGAGTAAAATTCAGGGATAGGATCTGACATAATCCTATTTGCAATCCAAATAAGTTTCATTGCACCACCAAAAATTGCTTGTTTGTACTTACTAAAATCATTTCAATTGCCCAGGAGTTAATAGAAATGATCAATGAATCTGGGACAATTGAGGCATTTCAGCAGTTTGGATGCGGAAAGATCTTGGTCAGGTAGAGTTATTTCTTTCAAGTAGCCAGTTAATACCTCAAGTAGAATATTTTTTCTGTACAGGCTAATCCAAAGCTGCTTTGTCTGTACAGGTATGATGTAGCTCAATTTTAGCCAACCAATACTTAAAGTGCCTATGAAATAAAATTTCACACATTTTTAAAGAAATTGAAACTTCTACTTTTTTTTGCAATATAAAACGAAAAGTGATCCAAAAATTTGCACGGGAAAGTTTGTTTTAGGGGTTTTAAAAACGATGAGTGTGAGGACAAAGCATAAGAATCAATGATGTCACAAGGTTTGCAGTTGGCTCTGTCTACACCATTAACACACCATACCACTTAGTCAGGGCTGTTAGTCAAACAATTGTGCAAATTGTGATACAAGCAAGAAATTTTGTAAAAAGGGGTCGTTTGATACGCTAAAAAGGATTGGATATGGACCGTCACTTAAAATTGCCCCCTTCAGCTATTTTAAGTGTAGTTCCTATAGCGACCTCCATTTTGCTTAGTGTACTAAATACCAACTGCTTCTGTGTTTGCTAACTTTGTGACGTCACCGATAGCATGCGCTTTGTCACAGTCGAAAACACAACAATGGGATATTCAGCCTAAATTTTAAGACGGTTCCGCAAGAAAAAATCAACTCAACATATATCATTGAAATCACCAAAATTTGCTCATAAAAAGTGTGTCTTTATCTAAACTTGTCAAATTTCATTTCATAGGCACTTTAAGAAGCTTAGATTAACCAATCAAATCACAGCATCCCTGAATTCATGTCAGCACTTTATCTGCGGTTTAACATGAAGTATTACTGTTACTATATGTAAATGGACACGGTAGTATGTAGACAATGTGTCAGGTCAATTATTCTTATCTGGAATCAGATTTCCTTTGTCAGAAATGAAAGGCACACATTGCCTGTTTCTCGAATTTCTTATCTCATGACACGTTGTGTCTGCTTCAAAAAGGTTATAGTTTTTAAAATAATTAGTAACATCTTTTGATATTTATTCATCTGTTGTTTCTTGTGTTTCATCATATTAATTCTTGTTACGATAGTAACAGTTTTCATCACAGAAGAATCAACTTTTTATTATCTTCTTATCAACAATGTAATCAACTCGCAGACTGAATGTAACCAGATAATGGCAGACATAAACAATTGTGTCTTGTGTTATTTTCTGTTGCACTTGCTTTGTCGCGACAAATATAAATATTAAGAGACAGACATCAACCTGTTTTTCATCGAGGTCATGACCTATGGGTTTGGCTGATTAAGTTTTCAAAGAGGTTCTCTTTCCTTTGCCATGACACAGAAAGTATATACAGTTTCCCGAAGATCGCATAAAGCGTGAAACTTGGTTTTACAACTTAGAGCTGTCCTGTACAGCGAGTCTCTGTACAGAATTTTTATGAGCATTTGAAAACTATAGAAACAGTAGTGATTCTCGCTGTTTACAGCTGCAAACATTTTCCCCGGCAAGTTTCTGTTGGAAAATTTGCTCGTATGAAAAATTAGATGTAGGATCCCGAATGCTAGAAACTCTTGAGTGGCATAGAGATTGAAATTTCCAAATGTGTTAAGAAAGTGGAGTACTCGACGTCGACCTTAGTTTCTTATTTAAATTGAGTGGGGTTTTTTGGTGTGCTTGGTCCCGGCAAAAGGTGTGCTTGGTTTTAGTCAATTTTTACTTACCCTCGTTGCAACGTACTTCGGATATAACGTACTTAATAAACTGGCCCTTGAAGTACGTTATAACTGGATTATACTGTAGCACTTTTACATAAGGCAGAAAAGATCACTATAAATTTATTTACTTCGTTTTTTCAGGATGGAAAGTGAACTGCATTGCGAGTGGGTCATCAGTTGGTTGGATGGCAGTCAGGTGACGGGTCAGTAGCTATTTTTGCATTTAAAGTAATTTCTATGAAGTGACACAGCGGAATTTTCTTTTTTATTTCTCGATATTGGAATATTTGAATATTATGTCCCTGCTATTGTTGAAGATCCAAGGCCCCAGAAGATGGGGGCCATAGAGCATGCATAATCTTAAGCTACGAGTCTTTAATTTGTCTTTGCCCCCATCCCATTTTCCAACTTGCATCGGAGCCTATGAGATCACATACTTGTTTGAAAATGGTTGAGAGACGTTAAGTTGAGAAGAAAGATACAATTTACCATTTCTACACCAATTTACCATTTCTACACCAGTGTTTTTGTGGTCTTGGTACCCAACCCCTGGTGCGTAGCTCAAGGTATCTCTTGGCCTTTTTGTCTCCACTTGCCTGGTTGCAGTTAAGATAGCCCCATTCAAAAGGCAGCACAATTCATTGTCTACGAAATAGACTAGCAATAAGGTTCTATAAATGATTTAATCTGATTTAATTTAGTTAATGCAAGATTTTGCAATAGAAAGCTGCCTAGGATACTGGGAGGAGCCATAACGGCTTTCGAACCCAGAGCCCAGATATCGCAGTACCGTAATCTATTTACAGTAACAATGAACAGATAGGACGTTATTTTAAAAAGATAATACGCCCTTTTGGAAGAACAGGTTTATAAGAACACGAGCTTAAAAATTGGTCCAAAGTTAAGAACAAATTAAGAACAAGTTGAGGCTGAGCTACTAAGAAAATGTAATTTTTAACAATGTTGTGAGACCCCCTGAAAATATTCTTGGGGTCTAGGGGTCTAAATATCTCAAAAAAGTCTAGGAGTTCTTTTTGGTGAATTTTCAAATTTGTCAGCGAATGAAAGATGCCTCATTGACTTTGTTTGCAAATTAGGCCTGAACACCCCTCTAGAGCACACTAGCTAGCAATGGCACTGCGTAAACCCTAACAATTTAATAACAAATTGAGAACAAAGCAGCCTCGAACTTTATTTTTCTGGTTCTTATAAAAAATATATGAATTCTTACAATAGCAATTAGGAAGATTTTAGTTTGAAACTCGTTGATCCATGGTTTCTTTTCTGCCATTTTCAGTCAAAATCCCCGGAAATCTTACTGGCCACATAAGCAATCTTTTTTACTCAATCTAATAGGCAATGATTTACTTTGAAATACCATGCTTCTTGTCTTTGATACTACCCCATGGCCGGTCCTTGTGCAGCTGCTAACCCTTTCCGTTTACTTCTGGGTGAGATTTTTATTTCTTTATTTTGAGTTCCCAAATCTATACAGTATGAAAAAGCTAGAATTTATCGCAAAAAATTATCATCCCTTTTTTTTCGATGTTCAGACGCCTCAGACACAATATCAGTGCTACGAGTCTGTGATATTGTCAATGATGATCAACCTACTGGCCTCGACGTTGGTAAGTGATTTCTTTTCTATTTCTGCAACTGATATAGAGTATCGTCCTTTGAAAAATTCGATGGCCCTATTTCCGTTTCTTGGCTCTAATACCAAACAACCTTAAAAGGATTATATCCGATTTTTCAATTCAGAGATTCTTTGCATTGTTTTTGTGATGTTTTCTATCCTGAATCTAGTAATAAAACTAGTAATAAAAACAATGAATAATAAAACTAGTTTTATGTTTTGCTAGCTTTTCTAACCAATTTATATTTATATTTTCGCAAGACATCATTAAGCGTGAAACTCAAAGTAGCAACTTCCATCAATCTCATTTTATACACCAAAAGCATGTACAGCTTTGCCTAGACGGCATTAAAACACTTTATGACAGACCGGTAAACAGTAATTTTCAGGTTCGTGACAAGGTGTTTAATTTAAGTCAATGCTCATTCCATCTAAAAGCTTTGCAATTTTTTAAGCCTCCGAAGAAGATCCTGGCAACAATAATCTGCTGACAAATGAAAATAGCTGATGGCGTTATACGATGTCCTGTTTCAAGATATCGATGCTTGAATGCCGGTGGGGCGTAATCAATTTCTTTTTACCATGACTGCCGTCATTTCCTTAGTTGTGTGACATTTCCTTCTTATAACTGAGACGAGGAAATAAATGTTTGGTCAAAGAATTGATACGTACCAAAAGCTGTACCTTATTGTTGCACTTTTGCGATGCTCTTTATGTAAATCCCTCACCATCCCTTTCAAGAAGAGACAATGTAAATAACGTTTTCTGCTAAAATGTGTTTGTTTCTTTCGTTTTTATTCATTCAGATAAGATGCATGATAAATTTTATTTATCTTCGGTAGCAACAAGATTATTTTTCAGCTTTACAAATTCTTTAGTTATTTTCAAAGTTTGTGTTTTTATTGATCATAATTTATTTCATTTCTTTTTTGTACTTTTTGGTGTAAGCAAGCGAAGTGTATTTGTTAGAAAGAGGGTCACTTTTAGAATAATATTATACCCACTCTCATTGGCTTGTATAATAAGAATTATTCCCACTTAAAAGATTATTCAATATAGTTCTCCAGTGGGACGTCACAATACTCCCATATATGCAAAATCAGTTAAATTTGTCAAAAATCGGGTGAGCTATGGCCAAAAGAAGACTTGAAGTTTTCTAACGGATTACTGTTATTTTGGCTCAGTTCACGAAGTTATAAACTGGAAGCAAATTACAGAGGTTTGATGGGGCCAGAGCTTGTGCGTATCTGGTCATATCGTAGCCAATTAATATTATCTTTAACTGATTTTGCAGATTTAGGGGTATTTCATGATGCTCTTTCAGGTTATAGGAAAAAACTTCAAAAAGTCTAAAAATATATTTTGTGACGTCATCACTTAGCAACTCTATTCAATCCAAATCATTTGCAGAGTCCTTCTTTCAAAGTTCAGATTTACTGTCTATTGTTCATTGTGACCCCAGGACATTTAATCTGTCCCTGTTTCCTTTTCGGCGACACTGCATGTTCTTGATACTTAGTTAAATTGATTAGTATCAGTTAAATTATACTTTCCGACTTCATTGTAATATAATTTGAATATTTCATATTATAGTTATATATTTTGTTGATATTTTCGTTGCTGCAATAATGGCCTACAGATAGGCAATGTAAGTTTTATTTATGTTTATCAAAATTTGGTTCAGTTTCATTTCAATACAATAATCTGTCTTTATCTCTCTCTCTCTCTCTCTCTCTTATCAGCTCTTAATTCCTTCTAGAAAAAAGCATTCTATCTTCATCAAATGTGTGCCATTCGTTAGACTGTACCTTAACTGTCATTTAGGGACTGTCATTTTGGGACTTTCAAGTTTTTATTATGTGGTAGAATAAAATAACTTCTATGGAGAAATCATTCAAATAAAAAATATTAATTTCGTTAGAAGTTCTAAATGTTCAAATATCTAGACCTGATGAATTTTAGTTTTAACTTTAAGGAAACTTTTAATACTTTTCCTCATATTTCTTGGAACCCACGTTAAAATATTTGGTATAATTTCAGTGACGTCCATCTCTCTCCCTTGAAACGATGTTGAATAGCAAAAGTCTCAGACCTCAAAATTTGAACATTGTTTTGGTGGGGGAATATTTTTAATTTCACAAAATATTTTATTGACTGCAGTGTGTTCCAAGGACTTTGGGCAAGAATTGTATTTATATCAAAGGGAGATATCGAAAATATAAAAAAAGTTTGAAAACCAGTTGTAATTTATTAAATGATTAAGACATGTTGATGAGAACTGACACTAAAGGTATTTAGCGACAACATAATGAGCAAATTATTAGAGTACAAAAATTGAAAAGGAATGTCAAAGGCAGTCGACTAAACCATCTTTCAATCAAAAATTGACCAATCAGTTAGCGTGATTCCACTTACACGCTTATTGATTGGCTAATATTGGTTGACAGATGTCTTAAACCACTTTTATTTCTGTCGACTGTCTTAAAGAAAGATATTTCAAGCATAAACTCGTTATCAAGAGTCTCTTTTTCTTTTTTGGAATTGGAATTATTACTCAAGTACCACGTGCAACTCGCACATTTTATGGATTTGTTTTGCTATGGATATTTGTTAATATTTTGACTAATCATTAGCATGGCTATATTGATAAAATAGTTGAGCAAAAGTCGTAAAGGGGCTGAGCATTTTGTCAAAGGGTCAGGGGACGCTTAAGGGAGGAGCATGATTGATATGACCTCATTTTTATAAGGCAAGGATATAAAATTCGGAAGGAAGTAGCTAATCAAATGCTGGGAATTTGATGCTGATTTTGAGATCCGAAACTGAGCGAGGTGAGTGGCTGGTTAGCAAAAAGGGATGCAAAACTATTTGTTTGTTTAGAAAGCAGGAGGCAAAGCAGAAGTAGATTTTACTTGAAGATTTAAAAAATGCGAAAGGGGACAGAGAATCTAAAAAGGACATATATGATAGATTAAACGATAATCTGAAAATGTGAATAGCAGTTGAAAAGATAAATTCAAAATTATTTGATATTTTTATGACAAGAGGATGGAACCAAGTCCACGTTAAGGCGTCTTCGTTTTCTCGATTGATGGCATGATATTTTGCTGTAAACATGTCCTTTTCCAGCTACGCATATTATCAACTCATTTCATTTTCCTTATGCCATGTTTATACTTCCAGTTCATTTCTCCTTGTTACTCTGGGCAGTTTTAGGGAAGTTTGCTAAAAGGGTGTTTTTTGAAGCGTTACATAGGAAAAAGGGAGACGAGAGCAAGATTTCCTGCACCTCTCCTGCACCTCTCCTGCATCTCTCCTTCACCTCTCCTTCACAACCGTTTGATCCTCTGGAACCCAGGGCAATACCTACAAGTTACATACTCATGTAATCAACTAACAAGCCAAATTATGTGCCTTAATATTTTATGATTAAGAGCTCTTTGCAAATGGTTCTAAACAGCTTGAACCTTTGTTCTTGAAGGATATTCGCTTCATAAAAGTTATTGATTTTACCAATTGTGCTTCGTCTATGGAAAATCCAAACTATAGCCACTAGTTAAAGTATAAAGTTTCGAATCTTCTCACTAATAGATAGAGTTTTAGATTGTAAAGTTTTCCAGATGGAATGTTTACCTTATTATTTTACAAAGTGTCTGTACATGGGTTCTAAAGTTCAAAATTTTTTCTAGTTTTATATCAAGAAAGATAACACCCCGTTTTTCGTGATGAACTTGGAATTAAAACGTATTTGTATTTTTCCGATAAGATATATTCGGAAATTTCATCAACAAAACCTCACGTGCTTGTCCTGATCACTTCAAAGAGCTACCCTGTAACATACAGTTGATATTGAACAGAAGAGGGCCTATGACCGATTCCTGAGGTATATCGCTTTGTACCTGATCGATTCATCGATTCAGCTCTTGGTTACTCGGTACAGATAGGATCTATTAATATCAACTCGTTGATACGTCTGGACATGCGTGAAAGCAAATCAGTTTTTCATCGGGACATTTTCATAGGATTAGTACCATTTTAGCTTATAATTAATCACTCTTTAGTTTTCTATTCCCGTAAAAATCGACACGGTCCTGTGTAAAGCAGAATGTTCAAGTGATCATTCATAAATAGTCAAACATGAAATGAGATTAAACGAAAGGTATTTGGATTTATCAATTTTCCTTAAAAATCGCATTTATACTTTAAAACTTCCCAATTCATTTTTCCATTGTCCCGATGGAAAACCATTATCCATTGCAAAATAATTTTTGGATTCTTTAGCTTTTGAGTAGTTCTCTATATGACTTATTTCGATTAATGCATAGCTCTATATTATCTAAATATAATATTTCGATTGGCCTATTTCGATCCACAACAGGTCAGACAATTTCTTGGCGTAGAGTTTTCGATCTCTGTACTGACATTTTATACTCTGAAGAGTGTCAGACGAAAAGCTTAAGTATGTCCTGAAGTGTTTACTTTTTTTCAAAGCCATTTTTAAATTCTGTACTACAAAAAGATTGTTTGCAATGTTCTATACTTGTCCTACTACATTTTTCTCTAGATATATCTACAGTTGGTTTTGCACTCGGAGAGAAGGGCTCTGTCAACGTAACTCCTCTTATCCATAAGCCATTGATAGACATTAAAATTTTAGATTTTTCTCATGAAAAATTTCTTATTGAACGAGGGCTTTGATGCAAGTTAGAAGTTTGGGATGGAGCAAGGACCGATTAAAGACTCGTGACAAAAGATCTTATGAAAAAGACCTCTTGCTTTGCAAAATGTGGGGCAATGCCTTCTACCACCACCACCCTTTCCCCGTTGTAGGTCTGTTGTTATAAACAGAAGCTGGCATTTCCGTAATGGCGCCCTGGATCTAGAGAATGGTTCGGATCAATACCCTTCGTCTTTGAGCCATTTTTAACTTGACATGAGCCCTTTTTAAAATTTTTTTAAAGTTGCTCATATACGAATTTCAGTCAATATATGTCCATGATTGAATTTATGCAATCTTTGAAAAGAAGTGCTAAAGGTCCTAAAACGCTTGCTGAAGGCCCATTTTTGTTTCCATTTTTAGAGAGAACAAAGAAAAATACCCTTGGAAGACCATCATGAATTGGCTCTTTTAGCATGACACTCGCATATGCACCGTGGAGAAGGGAGCTGGGGAGCTTTAGCCCCCAGCTTTTGCTAAAATTGCAAAAAATTACCAATGGATCAACAGTCGACCCACTTTCTATACGGTTTTAGGCCCCTCCCCCACTTTTTTAGGCTCCCACTTTTCTCAACGCTCCGTGGTGCCTGTCTCATGTTGCACCAAAATATCAAATTGCCTATCAATTGAGCTACAGAATAACCTAGTGTTCATTCACAGTACAGGGGGCAGCGCCAAAAAATTCAAAGTGAATGGAGGGGGGGGGGTCGAGTTGAAAGCGTTATTAGACTAAAAACCAACTTTTGAGAATCGCATTAAAATGCTTCACGATAATTCATGCCTATGAATTTATGGAGCATTCGTTATGCGGTAAATTGGAAATGCCGATGAGAGGTGGTCGGAGGCCAAAGGTACATTTGGTGAGCGAAAGTATTGCAACAAAAAAGGTTTTTCTTTGCACAAACCTGTAAGATTTCGTTAAGGCTAACTTAGAAATACTTACTTTCTGCTTGTTTGCCCAAAAATGTTAATTTTTCTGACCGTTATTAGAGAATTTCTCAAAAGTTTTGGTTGCACGTTTTTCGTACTGCAAAAGGCCTAATTTCGGATACCATTTCGTAACATTTTGCAGCAGAATACAATCGATAAAACAAAACATGCCATTAGCCTTTAACTCCATCTCTTCCAGCCAAGTGTGATATTGGTTAGGGAACATATATTACAGCAATATGTTCAAAACAGCATTTTATCAAAACAGGAGCGAGCAGAAAATATTTGCAACCACGCCCAACTCTGGACGTTGTTGGAGGACCATTCACTGGAATCTTCTTAAATTTTTACTTGGTCTTGATGCAAAAAAACTCAAGCTCCTGTGATGAATAATATCAACTGTGAAGGAGGCTGCAATTTTTGCGAGAAAATATCCGTAGTATGTC